CTATTTTGAACATCTTCTGTTGCATTGTGAGTGTTGGGATCTGTGGCCTTGACAGATGCCAAGATAAAAATTGTGTCAATGCACACTTTCCCATTTTCTACAGAAATCTGTGGAATTCAACACTAAACACTGAATTTGGCTCATTGACTTCCAGGCCTCAGTCATTCTTCCTTTTGCATGTTAATAGCCATAAGGCTTCTTGTGACAGTTTAGCTGTGACACTCATCCAAAATTCATCAAATCCATGCAGGCATTTGCTTTGATTTCAGTAGCTGTGCCCATGATGATCTGTAGCTGTGCTGACAAAGTTTGTTGCATATGTTCGAACCCACATTTTTGGACATTCAGGAACTTAATTAATTTCAAGTGATGCAATGAAGAGTGGGAATTAATTTTTCTGGAGGTAGACTTTTTACTTTCTTGGCATAAATTCTGTGCCACCTTCTAGGAGAGCTGGTTACTGCTTGGAAAAGATGATTAGCACTCAGTCAATTAATGACAGTGCTGAAAATGTTTAGACAAAATGGGAACCAGGCATTTTGCAACTTCCTCGTTTTTTTTACAGTTTAGTTTGTCTTGTGGACATTAGTTATTGCATGCTGATGTGTCTTCTATTCTTTGCTGTAACAGAAAACTGAAATACTGTGATATGGGAAGCAAAAGAGTTTGATTCTTGTTTTATTTTGAACATTTCATAGTTATATGTGCTTCTGGAAGAGATGCTTCTCTGCAAGGTGGCATTGTGAGGCTTATGAGAGTTCCATCTCTTTGTGGCAGAATACACAAATTAAACCAATCATGGGGCAGTGTAAATTTCACCTCTAATAACAAAGAAGAATTAACCCCATTATGTGTAAGGGAAATACAAGTCCCATGAAACTAAAAAGAATCAGGTTACTTAAATTCAAATTCTCTTCCCATAACTGAAATACAAGGACTGTAAATGAGAGCACATCCTCATGGTAACACATCCTCAGATACTTGTCTAGAGTATTTTTTAGAAGTTCTTAGATGCTTGCATTGCATAATAACTGCAGTCTCATAGAGTGGGTGTTCTTTAAGTAACACCACTGCTCCTTGAGGAGGGCAGTAGAAGAGCATGGCTGTGTTCCCTAGGGATGTGCTCAAAGAGTTATTTCCAGATGGTAACAAAGAGGTTCACCTCTGCTTTCCAGAAAGAATTAGGATGGAGTTTCCAAGCCTCTTACACCCTGGTAAATAGCTGAACCACTACAGTTATTAGTACACCCAAGTAAGCAAGTTTCTTTTTACCTCTTCTTTCCTGATCATTTTTTACTTTAAAACTTTTGAAACAAGCAGTGGATTTTTGAGATTTTTCTGAACTAGTTCCAGAAAGAGATGATCAAAATTCTTTTGCCAGCATCTGAGGATGTCCTTACATCCAGCCCTGGGATTGGGAGGTGCCGTCTTTTTTGAATACACTAAGCTCAAATGGGTTCTTGGCAGGTTGTGTCAGTACTGAAAATTTCTCTACACCTTCTTAATCATTTGGTGCATTTAATTCTTGTCTGAGACTACCACAATTCCTGCCATTGTAGTACCACATGGATTTAATTTCTCTTGGAGTGGAAATACCGCAATTCTCTTTTAAGGTGATTTCTTCACTAAACACCCCAAGAGTTCCCCATCTGAACAGCTGGAATTTAAGGAATTGAAGACTTTATAAATATTTTGCCAGTGTACACAAAACTTTGGGTTTCTCTTTGAGAAACCTTGCAAATTCATCAGTAGATGCACCTGCATCCATCACAATTTCATGGCTGAATACCTACATTTATTTTTTTCCTCTTGGTTTTGGTTTTTGTTTTTGTTATGGTAATTCCTGCATGATGAAAGACAATATTAAGAGATCAAATGCTAAAAATGCTAAGGATAGTTGAAGCTATAAAATTAGCAGAGAAAGCAGGGGTGTTTAGAGTTGAGGTTTTGATTAACACCCAATTCTATCAATTATAGGAAAAAAAGAATGATAGGATATGACCTACTCAAAAGGAAATGAACACAGATGGCCCCTGCGAATTTTGAGGCTTATAATAGAAAAAATGAAGAGCAAGGCTGCAGGTTTTATGTGATTGAATATACTCCTATTACTTTGACTCTATATGAAGCTTACTAAGGAAGCTGTATTCTGTCATGTCAGATGTAGTATTCTGTCCATAAATTACAGCTGTTGCACACTGAGGCATTCTTTAAAGAATGTCTTCCTCCAGGTAAAAGAGAAGATGGAGTGGTGGTCACATTGCTTGCATTTCTCTTGGCAGTTGGAGCTTCATAAATGTTCAACATTTGGCCTTTGTAGGCTTTGTGCATGTTCTTATGAGATTTTCTTGTTTGGGTTTTTTTGTTTGTTTGTTTGTTTGTTTGGGTTTTTAGGGGGGAGAGAGGAGCTGGGGTTTTTTTGGTGTGTTTTTGCTTTGGTTTTTTGGGAAATGTAAATACACCAGTCTTAGCCCCTTGGTCTTGGTTTTTTTGCTAGCCATGCTGGAGATAGAAATTCCAGCTATTGGGCTGCAAAAGGGAGAAATAATATTCTAATCCTTTTGCAATATTAATTGTGACTTGAACTCCTAAGAGAATGAGATGAAAAGTATCTGTTTCTTTTGCTATTTTTGTGGTTTCTGTATCTGTTGCATTACCTTTTCCAAAACTCGAGTATTGTATTGCATCATCACTTTGTGCTGCTAATCACAGTACAGCTTTTTAGAAATAGCTGTTATATAAGGGGCAGTCATTCAAAAGGCTTCCCATTTCTTTGGTATTTTTTTTCCCTTTTGAAAGCTCCCCTACTGCTTATTTAAACAAATAGTACTGTTTGGTTCATTGTTTGAAAAAAAAAAAGGAATTAATTGCTCAACCCTTGGCAGTCTGATGCTGAGGAACATTACAGGTGGTAACAGCTTCTTCTGAATGCCCTCTTCTGAAAAGACTCATCGCTGGATAAAAGTTAAGAGCAAACCTTGAAATGAAGATGTCATTTTTTCTGAGTGTCCTGAGGGGAACACCTGAAACACCTGCCATCAAAATCCTGTTAGATGCTTTTTGAGTATTGACTTGGCCTGTTAAAACATGGCATTATTGTAGAGCTCTCTTTTTGTCTCTGTAGCCTGTAGGGAACAGCAAGAAGTTTCTGGAAATATTCATGAATGGTTGTGGAAGGTGCAAATTTCTCCTAAGTGGAACGCAGACTGTAACATTTTGGGAATATGTACCCAGGCACACAGAGCTGTGGCCTAATGAGAGCAGCTTCTCAGAGACTGCATTGCAGGTTGTTTGGGATGAGCACTTGACTTGCTCATTCTTGTTTTCAATAAAAATCATAGATTTCTCTTTTTGCTCTCATACTGGACTTGGAAGGTAGAGCACAACCACAGGCTGTGCTGAGTGGGCACTTGTACAGCTCATGGATGGAAATTGTTAGTAAAGAATGAGAACCTTCAGAAAAAGAGCAGTGCTTTAAAGACTAGGAAATTTACCTTTAAGCAGCAGCTTGTATTTTGGTTTGAAGATCATTTCTCCAGCTTCCTATTTCTGGTATTGCTATGGTGCCAAATGCTGAGTTACGAAATAGCCAGCTGGTTTTGCAAATAAAACCAAGCCTGTCATTCCCTTTTCAAGCTGCTGAGAAGGTTGTACAAGGGGGACTTCAAAGTTGTTGAGGCAGGTGGATGGAGAGTTGGAAAATTCTGAGTTTAAGGTAGATTTTTGGGAGAGGCCAACATGAGGGAGAAGACTTGCAACAGAACTTGGGAAAAGCCTGTCCCTGCTCTCACGGATTGTGTTAGGAGGGACAAACCCAGCCATTCTCAATCCAAGCACCAGAAGTGGTGAAGGCACTGAGTGGCTGAGTCTGAGGTGGTTCTTCAGATGGGTCTGATTTTGCCCAGACCACCTTGTCTTCTTTGGATTCCATCTGGGTGTGATACCAGGTAGCAAGAGCTTTTTGTGGAGTGCTTTTAAAAGGTGAAAAAAAAGAGAGAGAAAATCTATGTGAATATTAACCTAATTTAGAAAAATGTCAATCACCTCTGCAATGGAAGGCACATTTGAAATGTAATGCTGGGGTAACTCTGATATTCTAACAGGTGGTTTTCTAAAATAATAACTTTATCAGTTTATCACGTGCTGCCTAACTTAGGGAGATTAGCTGTGGTTTTTGGTCTAGCACAACACAAATTTAGACCTGATACTTATCAAGCCATGAGGCTATCTTTAATTATTTATGTATTTTTAGTTGGTTGATGTGTACCACTTAATTATTCACAAGAGTGACTGTAATACTGATGTTCCATGTATAAGCCAAAATACAGTTTGTAGAAAGAAGAAAGTTTACTTTTTCTAGAATGAGGTTTTTTTTTTTGTATGAGGGAGGGAAGATCATGACAGGATTGTTTGTAATTGAAGCAGAATTCATCTCTCATCTTTTATGATCCTCTTTAAGATACAGGCCAGTGTGAAAAAACCCCAAACAACTCTATCATATCTTCTGAGAAGAAAATACTGACATTTTTGTGGTTCTGGTTGCATGTGATTAATACAGAAGATTATAGTTTATTTGTTATAAAAGGCATACTTTTGTCTCATGCCATATTAATACTATGCTTCTCATAGTTGTTACAAGTCAAAGGATTCATTCCTTGCTTGATTATATTGAAGCCAGAAAATAAAAACTACATTTTAAATATAAAGTGTAGCAAAATCAAGTGTTCCTTTTTTTATTTTTGACAACGTATCATTGTTTACTGTGATGATACTCCAATTATTTTGTGAAAGAGTGTTCTATACATTGGCTTGCTGCTTTTCAGACAAATATGACCCTGATATATTCAGTCCCTGACCATGTGTTGAAGTAGGCAAAATGAGCCTAAAAGAAAGATTAGGGATGGGCATATTTGAAAAAACATGCTCATTTGGAGAATTTTTTCTGTATTGTTAGAATTCTCGTTTTACAAAAGCTTTTTTTCTCCCCTCTTGTGTTTTAGATATCGATGAGTGTGAAAATGACTTCTACAATGGGGGTTGTGTCCATGAGTGTATCAACATTCCAGGCAACTACAGGTGTACGTGCTATGATGGATTCATGTTAGCCCACGATGGCCACAACTGTCTTGGTAAGTGGTGAATGCAAGAAACTTTCATTTCATGGCTGTGGCAAGAAGGCCTGATCTGTTTTCTGCATTTTATCACCTGGTGCTTCTTCAGTAAAGACTTGATCCAGGTCACAATGAATACATTCAAACCTGTGTGTTGGCCCCACTGTGGTTTAGGTCAGATCCTTTCAGCTGTCACTCTTAATCTCGACATGCTCAAAGCAGAATGCCCATGTTTAATATTGCTGAGGAAAACCCTGACCCCCAAAGCCTGTGCTCAGTGCTTGGGCTTCTTCTTCAAGAAAAGTAATCTGTTAAATATATTAAATATACTGAGATATATTTTGTCTGTTTCTTCCAACTTTTGTCATCCCAGTCATATCTTTAGAGCTTTCCTTCCCCTTTTTCCCATTTTCAGGCAGTACAGTTCTGGGATATGGTATATGAACATAAATTACGGAATGTAAGAAGTACAAGTAAGCCAGGAAGGAATACTTGGACAATGAAACAAGGCAGAAGAAACACTAATCACTAATTACTGGAGGGACACTGTCCACTGACTGTGAAAGCCCAGTGCAGGATCTTCATTGCTTCAGCAGTCTGAGGATTTGGGGATCTGTATTTTTGATTCATGGCCATTGCTCTGGTTCAAATAGGGTGGGTTTGTCCTAGAGTTACATAGGTATATGTTCTTATTATGAAATTCCTCACACCAGTTGCCTGGAAATGAACCTACACTTCTATGTCCAGTTTCCCATAGCTTCTTACTTGTTGGTCATTTTTTGCTTAGAGACTCTTTCTCACTATTCCCAATATAAATGCAATGACCACATTTTGGTACAGTCCTAAGTTAATTTCAAGGTGATGTTTATAAAACAGTGTGTAAAAGGGATCTTTTTCTCTGGGTCAGCAGCAGCTCTACTTTAATAAAAACTGAGATATTTTCAATTAAATTCAAGAAATGAGGCAGCAAACCAGAAATATTGAAGTCCAGTATCACCAGTCTGCACTAACTGAAGCTATGAAAGAACTAGGATTTCAGGGCAAGGATTTGATTAGCCTTTCAGTAGATGTATTTTGTACTGCATTTATTTTCAAACAGAGTAATATTTGTTCAGATGGATTATATATCCTGACCATTGACAGGGGTTTTTACTCAAACTTCCAAATTTCATTTGTAATAGAACAGACTAAAATAGATTTATTTGCCTCAGCCTGAGGTGGTCAAATGATTAATGGTGCAAGAGGTATTTCTCATACAAAGAGCAGCCAGACGTTAATTTAAAAAATAAAGAAAAGCTCTATTTATTCTAATATTCATAAATTCTAAAACAGAACACAGACATAATCAAATAGTTCAAATATTTGGAATTCAAATAACTGTGCATATGTGTTGTTTCAAACAGCTTGCTAGTTTCAACTTTGTCCAAACAACTTCCATTATAGTAGGGAAAAAAACTCTTTTGAACAATGAATAGCAAAAGGAGTGACCTGATCAATGATGAGCCATTGAGGAGATCTGTGGGACTTTTTTTGGACCTGCTGTCTGTGTTATTGCTCTCTGGTCATGAAATGAAGAGGCTAAATCTACAGAGATAGTCACATTTCTAATTACATTTTCATTAATTTATATCCAGCCACTTGATTTTTTTTTTTGTGTTTTTTTTTTAATTAAGAAGAAAAGGCCAACAAAAATACAAACAGGTGACTACATTGGGAATAATAGCTAAGAGCTCCCTTTCTCCCAATGTACAACCATAGGACACTAAAAGAGGTCACAATTGTCTTTCTGATTTTGAGACCATGGACTGGGGAGGTTGTGTCTGCAACTAATAAATGGTCTTTAGCATGTCTTGGTAAAATATCTGGTTTTACTTACAGACACTGAAAAGGGAATCAAGGCACATTCCCTCTTCCTTCCTTCCTTCCTTCCTTCCTTCCTTTTTTGAAATATGAATGATTTTAGTGAGGGCCAGCATGTCTGCTTGTAAGGTTTTAGACTGAAGATTTCAATTGTGACAATGACCATGCCAATCTTGCTATGGCTGTTTGTTGTGTGCTGACTCAGATTTGGGACACCATTGCTAGAAAAGAGAGAACTTTTTTTTTGGATGGCATTTTTCTGCTATTATTTGCACCCCACCTAGTTGCTGGCATTGTCAGTTATACTGACTGTTGTGACAGCCTAGTGGTTTCCATTAGTAGAGTATCAGTTTTTGAAAAGGGGGACATTCTAATCCCTTCCCTTCTTGATCAGCTTTATTTCCCTTCTCTTATGCTACCAGAAATATGTAAATGAAGTAAGAGGTTGCAGTGAGGTCTCAAATCAAAAACAAACCCTGTATTGCACAAACAAATTTAAATTAGGATTTCTATAATGTTTGGGGATTGGTTTGCTTATTCCAAATATTTTCTTTTTCACCATGATGAAATTAGGCGTTGAAAGGAATTGAAGTTTTGGTGAGTCCACTAGTTTCCATCTGTTCTTGCTTTTTGAGAAACCAGTCATTTTTCATGGATTTTATGGAGACAAAGAATGCTTCACAAGATTAGTATCAATGTTTTTCACCTTTCTTATAATGAAAAAGATTTCATCAGAACTTCTGCATATCTTCTTTGACATCAGGATTTCTACATTTCTTGCTTGGCTGTGGTCTCTGCAAGTTGTTAAGCCATCTCTTCTTGACAGGGTTTACATTCCTTCATAAATCTTCACTGAATGTCTTTCTAATAACATCAGTACAGCAAGATGTCTAAAATCTTCTTTATAAATAGCAAACTTGAAGTATTCAGTTACAGCGGATGCTGTGGACAAGTTAAGTGCTTTTTCCTGAGTTCTTCCTCCAACATTTCCTTCCTTCCTTCCTTCCTTCCTTCCTTCCTTCCTTCCTTCCTTCCTTCCTTCCTTCCTTCCTTCCTTCCTTCCTTCCTTCCTTCCTTCCTTCCTTCCTTCCTTCCTTCCTTCCTTCCTTCCTTCCTTCCTTCCTTCCTTCCTTCCTTCCTTCCTTCCTTCCTTCCTTCCTTCCTTCCTTCCTTCCTTCCTTCCTTCCTTCCTTCCTTCCTTCCTTCCTTCCTTCCTTCCTTCCTTCCTTCCTTCCTTCCTTCCTTCCTTCCTTCCTTCCTTCCTTCCTTCCTTCCTTCCTTCCTTCCTTCCTTCCTTCCTTCCTTCCTTCCTTCCTTCCTTCCTTCCTTCCTTCCTTCCTTCCTTCCTTCCTTCCTTCCTTCCTTCCTTCCTTCCTTCCTTCCTTCCTTCCTTCCTTCCTTCCTTCTTCCCTTCCTCCCTCCCTCCCTCCCTCCCTCCCTCCCTCCCTCCCTCCCTCCCTCCCTCCCTCCCTCCCTCCGATGATATCCTTGTCTAGCTAAAAAGAAACATTTTCTGTATTCCCTTGAGTAGTTTTTTCTCAAAAATTGCTCTATATTCTGCTCAGTGGATGCAAGACTAGTATTTGGTGTCATACAGTAGGTTTGAAATAGGATTTCCCTTCTTGTACATGAAATACAAATCTGAGGAGTTTTATAATGCTTATCTGTTTTGATGTAAATGAGAATAGCTACCACCTGCTTTCTCTCCTTTTTTGTGTGTTGTTTGGGGTTTTTTCATATTTTCTTTCTCCTGAGGTCTGATTTGTGATAGTCACTTTTTAAAATGGGGAATAAGCATTGCTTTTTTGCATAAGCAATTCTTGTTGCCAGGCTGCACACATCCTAACTCTTCCTTTTTTTAAAGATTAGGATAGGTTCTATTAAGTTCTCTGCTTTATAGTAAGCATACTAAAGATGGTTGCAAATTCTTTGTAGAAAGTATCAAAAAAGATGCAAAGCAGCATGGACAAAAAAATTATTGTATTCAGAGACATACTTATTTTATTTAAAAGTTTTTCTGTGGTATTAATTGCTGTAGGAACATGTCTTAATGCCTTGTAAATAGTAAGTCCTTGTAAGGAAATGAAATAAAATTTTAATTGTTTTATAGATTAGTAACTAGGCAAACAGATTAAGTTACTTCTCAGTCTTCACACAAGGTCTACACCATAGGCAGGAATAGAATCCTTACCTTTCTGCATCCCTGATTTTATTTCAAATAGTCTGTGTAGCTTTGGTTTCTCCTACAGAAAAATAGCAATTACTAAGTTTGGACACCTGTAATATGATATCTCAATTGATTCTTTTGTATGTGTGACCTCCTGCAGATAACTATAAAAGTAGGTTTTGATGATTCAATATAGCTTATGGTTCTTCAGGAGCTAATTATTTGTCTGATTGAGAAGAATCCTGGGAAGCAGAGGGAAATTCTGGTCAGAAATCGGGACAGAAGTGCAATTCCTAGTGTGTGTGATAAGTTCCATGGGGCTCTCTGCAGGAGCTGAGCAGACACGAGTGTGGCAGACACAGGCACAATGTCAGCTGTGAATTGAATAGCAAAGTCCTGGCTGTGTCCACAACCTTGAAGGTGCTTTGGGCAGAAGGCTTGATTTTCCAACCTGAATAATGGAAATTAGCTTTTTATTTGTCTGTTGTCAGATGGTCTTTGCATCTCTTGACAAAGTGGCTAAGTCACATGGAAACCCCTGTGGGAAAGCAGTGGTGGCACTTTCCCTGGAGCATCTGAATCTGCTTCAGGAGTGGTATTGATTTGCCAGCTCTGGTAGGTGCAGCGAATCAGCAATTCCAGCCAGGCATTTGGAAGCCTGCAGCTAAAAGAGAAACTTCTGAGATGAACCAGGAGCTGATGAGGCACAGGCCTTGAGATGCCTGTTATAAAATAGACCTTGGGATCTCAAACAAGTATAAAATTTCATGTTTGAAGTCACACAATTTCGTTTCTTCTAAGGTCTGAGGTTAAGATCTAAACCCAAGTGCCTGTCTTGAAGTACTCCTTTAAAATCTCTTGGCTTACTTTAAAAGAGAAGAGGTTTAACCCTGGCATGGAGGTTTAATTCTTGGCTGGGTGGTAGTAATCTGCAATCTGACTCAGATGAAAAAACTAACATTACTATATGCATAGAATCTCAGAATCATTT